ATCTCAGTATAAGGAGCAATGTGAAATTGGCAATAAACAGCATGTGCAATATGAGCTTTCAGATTAGAGGTTTAGGAGATTAGCAGGGTCTGAATGACAGATGGAAAAAAACATACCCCCTAGAGTAAGAGGCCATGGTAAAGAACATATTGATAGATAGATTTAAGATAGACAGATAAATAGATAGATATAGGACATAGATGAAATTTGTTGCATTATATTCTATTGAATGAACACAAACAATTTATTGTAAAAATCTTTTAAGGAAGAAGAAAGGGTATTTTGAAATACTGGTAGAATGCAAAACACGGGGAATAAATGTAGACTCAAGGTAAAAGTAAGCTCGAAGCTTGCGTCATACTATTGCTATGCCAGAGGGAATGTGCAACTAGAAAGAGATGAGAAACAGACACAGTGAGACCCAAATAAATCTGGAGTGAGAAGACAGGTTGTCATCATCCATGTGACAGCAAGGATTATGTTTCCAGTGGCACTATACTGGAAGCATGGGGGAAGCCAAGCAGGTCAGGAACCGGGCATGTGTGGGAATCCTCCATCTAATGTTATGTAAGAGCTAATGGCAGTGTGTGCAATGACTGTCACAAAACAACAGCAATCAGATTATTAGATATCTGTTACACTATGGCATTAACCTGAGAGTTTGAAGTATTAGCAAAAACAGACCAAAAACAAACAAAAAATTAATAAATCTCTCTGTTAGATACAAAAAAAAAAAAAAAAAAAAAAATATATATATATATATATATATATATATATATATATATATATATATATATATATATATATATATATATATATATATATCTATTTAAAACTTTGTAAAGAATATATGATTTGATGTTCCAGAATGAGAATATCTATTTGAACCATGACTGTTGTAGACATTTCTGTAACAGTCCACATAGGTGAACTTTTTGCATTAAAGGAATTCACAACTTGTTGTATAGATGTGAAAAGACTTGAGCAATTCCTGCAGCAGAAAAATGTAAAAAAACAGTGTTTAATTGACACAATGGGTATGTAGTACAAACCTGTAGAACAGTACTACATACTACTACATATAGTACTAACTTTATATTTGTTTGCAATATATTTGATATTTAGATATCATTGCATTTATGGAACAGCTTCTAATTCACTGAAACAGTAAGTCTCTAGCTATTTTAATACTGTGAAGCATTCCTATAAATACATTTTTTTATGTTATGGCCAAAGGAGTATAGAGATTATTGGATTTACATTTTACTACAGTTCAAAACATGGTGTTATATAACAAACCACATAGAGGATCCAAGTCTGAGAGCGAAAAATAAATCTTCTCTTTCACTAGTCTTGACTTTCAGACTCCACCAAACATTTTCTCACCATTTGTGACACACCAATAGAAAATTAATGATTTATACATTTACACATGAACTGTGACACTTGTTAAGAAAGGTGCAGATTCAACACCCACATGTTAGAAATATCAAACATATTTAACTACAGCTGTTTTCAGACACGTGTTGTGAGTGGTGCAGGTTAGGTAACTACTACATATACCCTCGGCCATGAGCCCAGTGACTCTGTTAGTCAGAGGAAAACCATATGATATGCAGAGCTCAACATAACTGGTGTGAGTAGTCAATGATGGGACATTTGGTAGAAGATTACGTTTCTAAATCTTTTCTTATACAAAAGCTGACACTGTTGGAAAGTATGTTCTATCTTTTTTTCAAATTTTGGTTTATTATAATCATAATTAACTGTTACGGATCCATAATCACTAACAATCTAAAAGAACATGTCTACATTCGCTTCCCGAAAATGATATACCATAACTATGTTTAAATTGTGAAGGTTCAGGTGTGGGATAGTTAGACACCTGTGTCCTGGGGAAATCTGGTTTGAGAAACAAGTAATTTTGGTCAATAGGCCAGCACAGCCCTGAAATGAAAGAGTACAGTAGTGAGAACAACTGGAGCGATGAGTTTCTTGGAAAAGAAAGAAAGGCTGATCATTTGCAAACTTTAGTCAATTCCAGCTTTGATTCTCTGACGCAGGCCAGCGCCCGGGCGTCAGCAAAGGTCAGAGCTGAACAGAGGAAGAACAACAGTAATGTAACCCTAGATTGGCCACAGCTCACACACTCACACAACATCTCCACTGTTCTGACTGTGGCCCAGGACCAGAGAGTGGGTCTACAATACACAGCCCGAGGAGCCACTGTCTTCAGTTTGTGCCATATAACAAAGGCACTTGTTTCCTCAGACAACCTCGTCTTGTCATTTAGCATCACGCTCAGTTATGTCACAACAGTGGCTTTATAAGAAAAATGCTGAGAAGCCTTTTCTGCTATTTGTGCTCCAATAAAGAATGTGTATTGGTTGTAAACATTAACAGCGTTTTAATTTTAACCACAGTTAGACACTTAACTACAGCTACTAGTGAAAATACAAGGTTATTTTGTATTGTAGTTGTAAGTACTCCAACAGCATCCACCATGGGGGTCAAAACTTTTACTCATCATTTAGATTGAACATGAAGTGAAACTGTTAAAAAAAAAGGTAATATGGACAAGTTTGCAAAAAAGGTTACTTAAGATTTCCATATGAAAAGAATGAAACCTCATACTAATGTGAGAATCTACTGAGTTTCTACTAAGGAAGTATTTTGAGCAGTTGGGTATTGGATGCAATGTAACTTCAGAGTTGTCAAAAAGTAAGTACAAACATAATAAACTAAAATGTATTCTCCAAATATATAGACTAGTTGGCAAAGGTCAGCCTGTTATACAAATACAACACAAAGTTTGCTGAATAGAAGTCATAGCTATTGTGGTGATTATATAAGTCTTTAAGCAGGACCAGCTTTAGGGCGTCTGTGGGAGCTGTTTGGAGTAGGAACTGGGCTGAAAAGGGTTTTGATTAATTAGAGGAAAACATCCTCTAGCTGCCCCTCCACCCGGGGGTCTGGACTGAAACACACCTGCAGAGCTTTGAGATTTGACTGACATCAATGAACAGTCCTGTTCAATGAACAGTCCTGTTCAACGCAGTGGGAACAAAGACACAAGGAAATCAACTATGCAGTGCATACAGAGCAGGTGATGAGATACTGTACTGAGATTCTCAATCACTGTGAATAGTTTTTATTAGAAATCCTGGCGAACTCCACACATTCCCTGCACGAGGTGTTTAAACCCCTCCCCTCAGGCAGGAGATACTCGGTGCACAGGTGTAAGACAAATAGACTCAAAAACTAATTTGTCCCCACCGTTATTGGTCTTTTACAAAAAAACTATAAAGGGAATGCCAATGTGCAATTGCACTTTTTAAACTTTTTATTTAACTTAAATGATCTTTTTTACCATGTTGTTTTTATTTCTGTGTCCTTGTCCATTATCATGAACTGTGTGGCTGTATGAATTGTTTGTTATCACTACAAAACAATTACCCCTCGGTAACCTAATAAAGTCTTGAAATTAAAATAGATCAATGCTCTCTCTCTGATACTCATACCAATATTGACACTGATGTACTTCTAAAAAACAATCAATAAACAGCCATGGCCAGTGCACCTGTGTCTATTGAAGCTAGTAGCAAACAATTACACATATTGCACTTTCTCTCCTACCACCTCCACAATTGCTTCCCTGCAACAGTATTGAACTGTGTGCAACTAATTACCACATCACTACAGAGACGGGCCATTCATGGAGCTTTCAATAGGAGTGACGCAAGTCCCTGACCTGGTGCTGGTTGTACTCCACAGTTCTACTGGCAGTAGGACAAGGTTAGCATCACAAGGCAGATCCCTGAGGTCATCTGTCTGAAGTTATCCCTGGTAGATTTGGCATCCAACCTATGAAGATGAGAGGTGTCAATTGTGATATATACTATAGCCTGCACTCGATTGTATCAGCCAATGATTTTAAACATCTATATTATATTTTAATAAATAAAACACAGAAATAACTATCTGACTAGTTTAAGGAATTGAAATGTTGTAGTCATCTTGATTCTATACTGGTCTGGGGAATATTGATTCTGCTATATAAAATATAAAATATAACAGTACTTATTGTAAGTTTTGTAACATGATACCAGTTCAGAAAAATATACTTTCACACAATCTGCCGAAACCCGGGATCGAACCAGGGACCTTTAGATCTTCAGTCTAACGCTCTCCCAACTGAGCTATTTCGGCGGATGAAACTGCAAAGGGTCAAAAAACAACTTTATATGAAAAGTTCACGGAAAGGTAAACGTATAAAAAGATGTTCTATGTTAAGTTAACCCCACCCCATGGAACTGTAATATAATCGTGGCTATGACAAACAAACCAAGCAGCGAGTCTGGCCCTGGCCTACTGAAGCGCCAATCACAAACCACTCAATAAACCATGCAGATTCTTTTCTTGACACACCGCGCCATCTAGTGCAACAGAAAAAAACTACATAGGCTATTTGTGAGAAAATAAGATAATTAATAGTACTCGCATGAAAAATGTGTCAGCCTTTACCAGGAAATGTCTCAGAATGTAAGTAAATTTACCAAAGTTGTAAACATTCAAGAAAATGCCAAGTCTTATAACATTTTGCAAATATTGGAGTTTTGCCCTCTTCATGACTGGGCCAGCCACTCACTTCCCAAGACCTATGTGGAACAGACGTAAGTACAGCCTGGATGTCTTGTACACGGACCCACCTCTGTCTGTTTTTAATCATAGTGGAAAATATAACTACTGTCTATTGGCAAGCCCATAAGAAAATGTAAAATTCTTAATTTTTATGTATGTGTGTATGTATGTGTGTATGTATGTGTGTATGTATGTATTTATTTATTTAGCCTATTCTGTAGGGTTCGCTCTGAACTGAGCCCAGATTATGTTGTTAAGAGTCTGGTGACTGTAAAAACTGGTGATGCAGATAGGGGGCGGGACTTAGTCCCAGGAACCAATCGGAGCCCAGTCCGCCAACAAGATAACTAGCAGTTAACTTGAGAGCACAATGACTGACTTCTGATGGCAAGTTTATCTCAGTTTGGCATTTACTTACCTTCTCCAGAGTAACAGAGCAGCAGTGTTGATGGAGCTCTACGGATCTCACAGAAAATCGAGATGACACTGTGGGACGACCGCGTCTGGGCTCTTTTCAGGAGTCAGTGGAAGCAGACGGTGATCTACTGGAGCGTCTTCTTTAGCTTCGGTCTGTGCATCGCCTTTCTGGGGCCCACCATTCTGGACCTGCGCTGCCAGACGCACTCCACGTTGCAGCAGATCACCTGGGTCTTCTTCTCGCAGCAGTTATTTCTACTCCTGGGCAGCAGCGTCGGGGGGATTTTCAAGAGGACGTAAGTCTCAAAAATAATACTCTCAAAAACAATAAAGAGACTAATAATGAATAGGCGCAAAAGTTCAACAGTGTTACAGCCTAAATACGTTCATGCCCTAAGTTTTATAATGGCTTATAAAGACTTTACCAAATGTGAAGTGGTAAAATATTGAAATGTACCTGTTTACAAAGGCTAATAGGTCAGATATGTTTAGGCTGACTTTTCTCTCTTGGGACCATACAGGATTTACCACACCTACAGAACTGAATGGAACCCTCTTCTAATCACTGTTTATTGTGAAAACTGAATCTAACTTGAAATACAGTATAGCGTATTCTGAGAAAATATGTCTGAGGTAATATATAAATCATATAAAAATAAAACATATATAGCCTATATGAAGCTTAGATTACAATAAAAAATCAAAAATTCCATAAAATTTATTGCAAAAAACAAAACAAAACATAGCACAATGACTTGAATGACTGAATCCAAATGAGGCAGACAATGAGGCAATTTGACTGGCAAATGATATGCAGTTAAAAGTCCATGTGTCTAAGCCCTCTAACATATTGTTTTTCACTGTCTGCATGCATAACAACACTGAGATGTATATGTTCCTGAATAAGAATATAAACCAACTCATTAGAGACAAGGTGAACATAAAGTAAATGTTACAAGTTAAGAACGATTAGATAAACATACCACTTTAAGTGGAGCATTGGATAACCTTTCTGTGACAACAAAAACGGTCTCAATAAGGTCACAACGTGCGCAGTGCCCATTCAGTAAAAATATTTACTTATACAGCTCCATTCAAATTTCTTACAATATGATACATTGAAGGGATTTTAAGAGCTCTGGAAGAAGCTGGATGGTTTTGCAATGCAAGTTTCACATATTTAATCCTCAAACGCCACACCTCAATCTAAAACCTATGTTAACATGAAATAAGCTCTGATGATTGTGACGCACGATCCTTGGCGTCATTTGGAGGAGAGGCCAAATGAACAGGCATTGTTGGGGAGTAACGAATTACATGTACCGCCGTTACGTAATCAGAGTACAAATTATGAGTAACTGTATTCAGTTACAGTTACTGTTTCAATGAGTGGTAATTGGATTACAGTTACTTTGCTGAAGTAAGTTACACGGCGGTATTTTCCTGTTTTCACATTTTGTGCTACATCCCATTTATTTATTTTTTTATTTCGGTAATTCCACTCATTGCCGGAAACCCAAACAGAACGCGCGCAGTAAGAGCGACGTAAACGTCATGGTAACGTTGGCGGCGTTGGTCACACAATGGACGAGGTCGAAGAGCCAGTAGAACAGAGGCAGCAGCGCACAGGTAAAAACACATCTGTGTCTTGGAAATTCTACTCCCGACGTGAGATATAAAAAAATAACAACTATAAAATCGCCAACAAGTTAAATGTCAAACCGGCACTGATGAAAACAACCTGCATAGGCTCATAAAATCTGCACTACTGTCCTATAGTGACCTGAGACACGAGGGGACGCACACAAACACACACACAAACACACGCAAACACACACACAAACACACACACAAACACACAAACACACACAAACACACACACAAACACACACACAAACACACAAACACACACAAACACACAAAAACACACACAAACACACACCTTCATCATCGTCATCGACCTGAGAACGCGCGGACACCGCTGTCCTCCCGTGAGCCGCGTGTGGACCGTGTTTTCTCACGTACGCTGCGTAGACGTAGACCGCGCCTCCTCCTGTGCACCTCTAAACCAGAACTAACACCAGCACTAAAACCGGGACTAACCCAGTCCAGGACTAAACTAGGACTAAACCAGGACTAAACCAGAACTAAACCAGGCCTAAAATCAGGACTAAACCAGGATTAAACCAGGTCTAAAATCAGGACTAAACCAGAACTAAACCAGGCCTAAAATCAGGACTAAACCAGGACTAAACCAGGTCTAAAATCAGGACTAAACCAGGACTAAAACCAGGACTAAACCAGGTCTAAACAATATGACACCTAACAGTAGGTTGGACATAATTTAAGGTGATCTCATATAAAAATAATTTCTTTATCAATAATATTTTTTAATATGGTTAAGGAAAGACTGAGCTTGTTATTGTCTTTTAGCTGACAACACATCTTATGTTAACATGCTAGTCCTAATCCTAACAGATCTTAGTCTTTGCTTCTCTACAGCAAACAGTTGCTTATTCATGGAGACTTTGGGTCAACAGGCAAAAAAACGTTCAAAAAAAAAGTTTTGAGTGAGGAAAAGGAAGGTTCAATTCTGGCTTTACTGGCAGAGGGATACAGTGAGCGTCAGGTTGCTTCCATCCTTAAAATTTCTAAGATGGCAGTTCATAACAACAAGGTCAAGTAGCAGACACTGGGAACAACAAAGCTACAGACCGGCAGGAAGCGGAAACGACTCTCTACTGACCGGAATGATCGTCAGCCCATTTGAATGTCACTCAGAAACCATAGGATGACATCAAGTGACCTACAAAAAGAATAGCAAATGGCAGCTGGGGTGAAGTGCATAGCAAGAACTGTTTGAAACAGGCTCCTAGGGGCAGGATTCAAGTCATGTAAAACTAGAAAAAAGCCCTTCATCAATGAGGAGCAAAGAAGAGCCAGGCTGAAGTTTGCAAAAAACCATAAGGATTGGACCATCGAGGACTGGAGTAAGGTCATCTTCTCTGATGAGTCCAATTTTCAGCTTTGACAGACACCTGGAGAGGCTTACAAGCCACAGTGTCTTGCACCTACTGTGAAATTTGGCAGAGGATCAGTGATGATCTGGGGGTGTTTCAGCAAGGCTGGAATTGTGCAGATTCGTCTTTGTGAAGAACGCATGAATCAAGCCACATACAAAGTTATCCTGGAAGAAAACTTGCTTCCTTCGGTTCTGACAATGTTCCCCAACTCTGAGGATTGTTTTTTTCCAGCAGGATAATGCTCCATGCCACACAGCTAGGTCAGTCAAGGTCTGGATGAAGGACCACCAGATCAAGACCCTGTCATGGCCAGCCCAATCTCCAGACCTGAACCCCACTGAAAACACACAAGCTATCAAACAAAGCTGGGCTACTTGAATTCTTGCTCCAGGAGTGGAATAAAGTCACTCAAGAACAATGTGAAAGACTGGTGGAGAGCATCCAAGACACATGAAAGCTGTGATTAAAAATCAGGGTTATTCAACCAAATATTGATTTTTGATCTCTTCCTAAGTTAAAACATTAGTATTGTGTTGTTTTAAAATGAATATGATCTTCTTTTCATTGCATTATTTGAGGTCTGAAAACATTGCATTTTTTTTGTTTTGTTATTTTGATCATTTGTCATTTTATTCAAATAAATGCTCTAAACAAAAATGGTCTTTATTTGGAATTTGGGAGAAATGTTGTCAGTAGTTTATAGAACAACTATATACTTTTTAAAAACTTTTTATTTTACTCAGACACATACCTATAAGTGGTAAAATCAGAGAAACTGATAATTTTGCAGTGGTCTCTTATTTTTTCCAGAGCTGTATGTATGTATCGGTATTACAGATTGACAGATGTTCAATCAATCCTCTGTTCATGGGTTTTTGCTTCCTACTGAACAGATATAATATATAGTTATAAAATAATAATTGCTGTGGCAGCAGTCTTAACTTTTCATCTTTCTGAAACCCTTGGATACTTTCTGCATTACATTTAGAAATCAGTTAATCTTGTGGGATGTTTGCTGTGTTGTTTATTATGTTCTTTTGTTTGTTGTTCTCAGGTTGCTGTTTTCCCTGGTGGCTCTCTTCACTTGTACCTTTATTATCTCACTAGTATTTCTCCTTATACCACTATGCTACAGTGTGATAATGCTGTCCATTGTGCTGGCCATTGCTGGTTTGGCCATGGGAGTGATTGACAATGTTGCCAACTTACAGCTGGTCAAACTTTACCAGAAAGACTCAGCCATTTTCCTTCAGGTAAAATCTTTAAATTTGCCTATTTGACAGATAATACAGTCAAATGAATTTAAAGGCACTTCTGACTTGTGCCTCTTGTTGTACACATTTGGGTGGTAACAGTATTTTCTTTGCAGGCATTGCACTTTTTCATTGGCTTGGGAGCACTGGTCAGTCCTCTAGTGGCTGATCCCTTCCTTTCAGATGATGCCTGCATTCTGGCAGCCAATGCTACAGTCTTCAACTCAAGCTTTAACCTTGAGCATATTCGTAACACTCTTGCAGGACCAGGCGCTGCGCTAACAAATATGTCCGAATATCCCCTGCACATACATGGCATGGCGCTCACACAGGTGTCATATGCTTTCTGGATCATGGCTCTTATCAGTGTAAGTTCCTCGAATGACATTAGCTAATAAATGAACTGCCAAACTGGAGTAGTTATGCAATGGAGCTATTTCAGTCATAGAATTATCTGTGGAAAATGTTGCACTACGCAACTTATCTGATGGTGGATGGAAGGTCCTCAAACCACTTTAATTCTTGGAGATGTATTAATTTGACTAAAATGACATGAAACTTCTCTCTCTTGCATTTATTCAAGTATAGGTGTTATTTTATTCTGGGCTGTCCTCTCTAACTCGTAACTCTCTTGTGCTAACAGAGATTCTTACAGGGAACTTTAATGCCCTACTGTGGAACATCCCAGACAAATCTTTATAGAGACAAATAGGTGCCAAACTCTCCACCAGAAAACCTACATAGTGCATCTTTAAGGGAGCACATTTGGGTGGTGTCATTATCACTTGTAATATGAGACCAAACCTGTTGCGGACTCTGTGTTTTCAAAGTTGTATTACATTCTTTTGAACATTGTATCTACATGGCTGCCTGTAATCATGTGCCTTTATTGTTTACCTATTGTTGTGGGAGGGATTAGAATCATGTTTTCTTGGCACAGGGTTGCAGAAACAAAACAAAACAATCAATCTTCCCAGGTTACACCCAAAATCCTGCCCTCTTACAGTCTCATCTAATGACTTAAATATAGCTAATATTTGCTTACTTAATTCTTCAGTTTATTACTAATGTTTTGATAAAGTTTTAATTATAGTTGCCTGAGATTGGGGTAGTCTAACATCCTTTTCCAGAAAAAAGATTTGGAAGGCACACTTTATGCCTTCTATTATGGTTTAAGCTGTATTTCTCTCACAACAATTATTACATATAACAAAGTTTTCATCTAACATTGAAGTGGGTATTTTAAAAGTCTAGTGGCATTGTAAAAGTCATTGTTATTGCAGTGCTATTGTTGATTCATTTAATCATGTGTCATCCTCACCACTCCTTTTTCTGTTTGCATACAACACTGGTATGCTTATTACGTAAATATTATGCCAGTTAAATTACCATGATGCATGACATTTCAAGTCTGAGGTGACCTGGTAGGTTTTCTTCACTTTGTGTGTCTGCAGCAGTAGCATTTCTCTGTGAAAATAAGAAGAGCAGAGATCACAAATTGAATCAGCTGACAGGATATGCTTCATGACATGAGAATGGCTTCTTTGTGTCTAAAATGACTGTTCTGTATATGTGTGTGTGTGTGTGTGTGTGCAGCTGCCTGTGCCCATAGCCGTACTTTACCTGATGTACCATGAAAGGCTGCTGCCCTGCTCCAGAACAAGCCCCCCTCTACTGGAACAGAACCCAAGTGGCGACACTGAACAAGGTATACCCCAAGTGAGAGCTGTCATGAATCATACAGAGGTTTCAAGTGTAGGACAATCCCGGATTACTCAGACATGCATAAATTCAAATACAGCTCAGAGTGAAAGATGAAGGGGTTCCGTTATAATGTGGTAAAAGCACTTAAAGGTGCACTATGTAACTTTTTGGTAGGGGTCTGTCATCTGCTTGTTTCTATAGAGATGTCATTGCTCTGCCTGGAATGATCCACAGTATGACATTAAACAGATCTACCTTACATTTATTCAATTACAAGTGGTTATTATAGCTGAAAAATAACTAGAAAAACAGGCATTCTGACTGTGATCAGGGTCGCCTCTCCACAGATTTGACATGTAATTTGGTCTGGTTTGGCCTCCATGGAGATAGGTTTAATGCCACACTGTGAAACATTCCAGACAAAGCAATAATATTTCCATAGAGAAAAGCATCTGACTGACCCTCCTCCAGAAAAGTTACACAATGGATCTTTAAAAGTAAATTTTGTGAAACTACAATTCAAATAATGATAATGTTTCTCTAGTTTCCCTAGCCCACAAGAATGTGTTCAGGTGCTGTAATCTGGATAAAGTCAGAGATCGTCCAGCCACTTTCTTTGTCCTCCAAATTGTAGGTGGAGCCATACTGTTTATCACTGATGGAATAATAGTAAGATCTCTCTTCCCAAATACAACGTACCTATGCAATTTGGTATACAGTGTAAAGTTTGATGAATTTGCTTCTTACAAATGTATTGTTCTGTTTTTGTTGTAGGGTTCGTATGCAGGCTTTGTGTACACCTATGCTGTGTCCCCTCCTTTGCTTATGGCACACAAGACTGCGGGATATCTGGACAGCATATTCTGGGCTGCCATTACTCTAAGCAGACTGGCGTTTATCTACTTGTCCTACAGATATCCTGCTCCAAAACTGCTCATCTTCAGTCTGGTAAAAACACACACATATGTAAATAGTGTTTCTAAGGTTTTCTGAGCATTGTCTTGGTCAGTCTGAGGTAGCTCTGGTTTAATTAAATCAAGCTTGTTTAATGTCAATGTAGGTTGTTTAACATTGTTTAAAGTCAAAAATCTGTGTACAAATCAATTATTGAGATGTGACACTATTATTCTTTCTAAAAGGATATGTATATTACAGTCCAATCTGTTCAAAAAGAGTATCTTTCTTTGTGCAGAACCTCTTTCAGTAAACAATGTGCAGCAAGTGCCAGCAACAAATGGGAAAGAGAAAACGAATGCCATCTGTCATGCTACTTTAACTCAAATATTTAAACAGGATATGTAGTGAGTGGAAGTTTTAAGCAATGTCTGTATGATTTGTTTTGTTGATATGAATGAAAACTATTACACATATTCCTACAAAAAACTTGTTTATTTTGTCAAAACATCCTAGAACTTATGGAGGATATATTTCATTAGTTACAGTTACAGTTATTTGTAGACCTTTCTGTGAGTACACCCATTATGAACTTCATAGTTAAAAGTTAACCCATCGTCTGCCGAAACCCGGGATCGAACCAGGGACCTTTAGATCTTCAGTCTAACGCTCTCCCAACTGAGCTATTTCGGCTCTGTGGGTTCAGCCTCCAGCAGTTCAACAACAGGAAGTGCAACTGCTGCAGGTCTAAAGTGTGGGGGAGGGATGAGGTTGAAGTTCATTATAATTCATTTTCCAAATCAGTCTTATTGTTCCTCAGATCAGACTCAAAATCACTGTGTTAGGGCTTACATTGTAACACTTCTAATATACTCTACAGGACAGTTACTTTTATTATTTATGGTAGAGCAGCACACAACGTTTGCTCTGTCTTTCACACCTGACATTTTGTATGAATTAAAGCTCCACTGTACTGTTCTTATTGTGGACTGTGACAATGACTAAATACAATACAAACAATAACCGCTTAATGTATTCATATTTACCTAACAGACTTGTGTTCTCAGATAGGGGTGGTCCTTATCCATGGGCTGCTGTTGCTTTTCTACACCAGTCAAATGTTCCTCTTCATTGGGACCACTATACTGGGCCTGTGCATAAGCAGTGTGTTCCCCTCCATGCTGGCCTTCACTGAGGATGCACTGGAGTACAAAGGCAGGCCACTCATTCATATCATACCAGATTGTTGTTTGTACTGTGTTACAGATCTTATATTACACAAAATTTACTCTTGTGAGCTTTAAGTCATGTTATAATTTAATCAGAAACATAGCTGGACTTGAGTTTTGTTCACACAGGTTGTAATCCTTTATTATTAGTCTGTCTACATCTCCAAAGCCCAAAATGTTCTGTTCCACCTTGTGATGTCACAAAGCAGTAGTTTTCAATTTAACAGCTACCTTTTACTTTTTGTTCAGTAGAGATTGGCCTTTCCATGGCTGAAAATATCTAAATTATTCTAGTGAAGGTGTATGAAATTTAAAAGTGAAGCACTTCCTGTATTAGCACATAACAGCACAAGGTGAAAGGTGAGTGTTTTCTGTTTGAGAGAAGAACTCAAAAAATTTGTGGGAATGAAACAATACGCAGCTCTTGGTGTTTGTGATGTGGAAACACTATAACAAAAGGCTTTATAAGGATCTTTTAAGTAGAGACATCAGCTCTATAATCTGTATGTGCTTTTCTTATCTAATATAAAAAAATAAAATAAAATAAAAACTTGAGTACCATAAATGTCTTTTGGAAGCTATGAACCTCCTCATGTAGAGACAGTTAATTTGAATACTACAGTTATTTAACTACAAAGCCACAATTATGGGTGAAGGTAAGCCTAGAAAGTTCCTAAAAGATTGTGCTTACAGATCTATTATTAGCACAGTGAGAACAATTGCCATGACAGGATGACTTGATTAAGTGGGTCAATAATTGTCTTTTACATAGGAGGAATAAATTGTGCCTTGCTCAAAAGCCATCCTTTAAGCTGCCAAAACCCAGGATTAAAACAAAGGACCTTTAGATCTTCAGTCTAACGCTGTCCCAACTGAGCTATTTCATCTCACTGAGACTCTACGATAGCAGTTCTACAGGTGCAACTATTGGCAGTGTTGCCAGGTTGGGAGTGTCAGTTTTGTCAGTGGGGGAGGGTAAACAACTTTGTTACATGAGTTCATGAACATGCAGTATTTTTGTTGCTCTATAGTTATTGTGGTAGTTGTTGTTATTGTAAAGTCAATATAATAGTAATAAAACACTGTAAACACACTGCGTTTTATGACGCTCAAAGACGCTTCACACAATTCAAAACAGACAAAACACAAAATATGAACATTTTAATTGTAACTAATATTCCAGCAGGAATATTAGTTTTAAGATTTTGTAGATTCTCATTGCAGATTATAGTGTTGTATTAAGCTACAATTAAAATGTTAGCTTTGATTTCTCTGCCACAGGTTGTGCAACAACTGTCCTGGTGACGAGTGCTAGCACTGGAGAAATGCTTATGCAGCTTTTAATTGGATCTGTAAGTTTAATTAACAATTTATTTCCAAACTATCAAAGAAATCTCATTGTATATTGCTTATCCTCTACAAGTTCTTTTGTATTTCCATCTGTACAAGATTGTCTAAATTCTTACAGGTGATTCAAGACTATGGCAGTTATGCCTTCATGCTGTGCTGCATGATAGCGTCCTTTCTTGGATTCTGTCTGTTTCTGCTGTTCCTCTATGTGCATCATCTCCACAAAAACAGCTACAGTCACAGCACAGGTAACTCAAAAACAAGGGGAAGGTCAAGCACATAATACTAGTGAGCAAAGGCTATGAGAGAATAAACACACAAGTCCATAGGGCTGAGACTGTTAAAGGCACAAGCAAAAGCAAAGATTAAAAGATTAAATTATCTTTAACAGACTTAAACACTAACTGCTTGTTATAAGGGAAGACAACTGGAGATTATTTGTGGCACATTGCTTGGAAAACATTAATCCTTTAAGAAAATTAAACTATTAACTTCGTACAAAATTATGAAAAAAAAAATGTTTGTTTGCATTATTCTATTTTTATTTGAGCGTAATTTGTTATCTCACAAAGAAACTGCTTTTCTTGGTATATAAGTAAAATAAAAAAAGTTAAGATAGTATTGATGGAAACTGATCAAAGACAAATAACAACTGGAATACTCATTGCCTGTTAAATCACAAAGTCTCTGATTCTATAACCATGGCTTTCAGTACCACCATATGTGTATAATTTTTGCACAAAAATATAACAAGAAGGCAGTAAAGTTAATGAGGAAAAATTAGATACTGACAAAAATGTTACCAAAATACAGTAATCTGCTCTGTTATTTGTTCAACAGCTAGAAATTACATTTTTAAAAATTCAGTGTGACAAACAACCTCAGCGGAAAATACCAACATACTGGAAAAATATGCCCATTTTGTTCCCTTTGCCACCTACATGTAGATCATCTGTGTTGGTATCTTGCACACTACGTGTTTCTAACAACTAATGAACTTCAGAAGTAATGTTTGGATCCTGTCATAATCTGCAGTGTTAAGGAGATAATTTTGTGCTCTTCTTCCCTGAATTTCTGGTACCTTAATACAACAGATTATGTGCTGAATTAGAACCCAGCATGGTTATGCCGATGTTCAGGAGGCCAGATGAGGGTTCTGTCGTCTCCATTCATGAAACTCACATAGACATCACCATGTTCATCTGAATGCTCTGAAATATTCCCAATGAACCACCTGATGTCATAATACATGCTCGGTATTGACCTGGCTGGTACAGAGAGAAATCTGACACAATCTCAGAAAAGTGTGAGATTTCTGTCAGAAATGGTCATTCTCTCAAATATTCAGGTCCAACAGTTAGCTTGCTTAGAGTAAATAGATCTTGGACCTCAAAAATTGACAAAAAAAAATTGAGTGGCAACCAAATGTGAGATTTTAGGGGCCTACAGCGCCCCCCTTAATAAAGTTACCCAATATTTGACAATAGATTCAAAATCTATGACCAAGAATCTACAATATCAGCTTCCTAGCTCTATTTTTTATGAAGTTATGGCCTCTCAAACATGCTTATAAATTAAGGCCTTCGAAAAGTGAGCATGGTTCCAAAATTTCGACAGGCCATAACTTATGAACGACTGAAGGGATTGAGCTAAAATTTTAGATTCTTTCATTTGGTCATTTTAGAAATTTTTGGAAATTTTTTCAGCCAAATCTGAGATGGCTCATAGGGGAGGGCTGCTGATTTCATATAGACTGGCCTTGTTACAATAATATACAGTAGTAGTTTGTAGAATGGATCACACATGCAGCAAAAACTGCCCCATTTAATGTTTATCTTACCTGCATATAGAAAATGAATGAAGGATTTTGGGGTCTCTTGGGGTCTTTGACTCTTGCCATGTGAATACTAATTTGATTACTATCCATTTTTAATATTCATAATAAAGCACATAGTAACTACAGCTGACAAAAAGCTCACGCCTAGATTACCTAGATGACCACAAAACAAAAGCAGTTTTTATAGTTAATTAAAAATACATATATTGCTGTGACTCTAGTGTTGACATATTTATGTAGCTACCTAAAAAGATGCCTTACACGTTATTAATGTGTAAGGCATCTACCCCTTGTGGATCAGTAAAGTTTGTCTAAGTCTAAGTCTATTAGCTGTAGATACAAATGTCAAATAAAACAAATCCTGCTTTGCCATCTCAACTTTCATGAGAAAAAAGCGATACATGCAGTGCCCTCCTCAGGTCACACAACTTATTACAGTTTTGCAATACTATTTTCTTATGTGTGTTTCAGATTGCACCAAGGACATGGATATGAAGAAAATACCGCCATCTCTAGCAGGATCTTGAATGAAGTGAATATAGCATTATGAATGCTGGACATTTATGCCTTGATCATTTACTGGATAATAATACATTGCATTTTATGAGAAATTATCTGTGTAGCTTGCCTGGCAACTCTAGAATGAGATCTCTCTTTGAGGGACAGATATCTGTATTTTATACAAATATCTGTCTGGCCCCCACCCCTACATTGTGTTTCAAGCTGTGATTGTGCAATCACATTAATTTTTTTTCAGTGGCGCAAGTGAAATGAAGGAGCTTCAAATAAAATCTAAATTGGCTCACATCATATTAACAGTTAAGTGCTGTGCTCATTGATTTTGTATTTTCCTTTATTTTTTCCAGTACGGACAGACCATGTCCTTGACTGACTACTCCCCTTGTCAATCACACCCATTTGAAATGGGTAGATTCACTGGTGACCAGATTCACATCTGTGTATGTGCATCATAAGCAACTGGCCACATTTTATTAGCCTTTCTAATGCGCAATACACTGTATGAAACACAGCAATGTCTTGTGTTTTTACATTAGTATTTTCTAGTCAACTTTTTAATGCATTATTCTGTCAGACTGACAAGACGTGAAATGTGACTACAAATCGGGAATTTAGCCCCTGCGATCATCAGTTACAGCTTGACAGCAAGTTAGTAGAATGCAAGACGGGAGCACTGTATTGCCCAAAGACACAATGGCATAATCTGGTTGTACTGCACCACAGTTGAGCCCCTGCTGCCCCATGACTCATGAAACGATGCTGTGAGTAGAGTTAGATATGTTTTATTGTTGGTCTCTTCTCCTACACCAAAATGCCACTTAAGACAAGCAGCATGTAAACATTTGGAAAAAGCATTAAACAGAGAACATTTTAAACCAAGCAACAAATAAGTTTTTACATGTCAAGATGAGGTCAAAGAGGAACAAGATACAAATGACAGAGGAAATGAGGAGCCCCTTACAAAGATTTAGTAATATTTCCCACTGTTCATATACTTGAACAAATTATGAATAAATCATGATGATTTTTAATATATATTTAACCACAACCTGTCCAACAGAAACTGTAGAAGACTGTTTGTTGCATTAAAAAGGCTATGGGTTCATTATTCCTATATTATTTCCTATAATACATTTTAAAATAATAAGAAAAAATAAGAGCTGCCAATTATATTGGACTCATCCTGAATAAACTTTGATTACTTTGCAGCATAGTGCCTGATTACAAAGTCTGTATGTTATTAAACACACACACAGGTTGAATATATATATATATATATATATATATATTTTTTTTTTTACAAAAAATACTAAGTGCTAGGCATTATCCCCCTTTGGGAAAATATACACACATTTTATCAAACATTTGAATTGCAAAAAGAGTGAATCAAATTGTTACAGGAACCCCAAAAGAGTGCAAACGTCATATCACAACATCTGCTTTTACAATATTGACACAGAATATCAAAACACATTACATACAAAACATAGATTCTGAATGTCCCATAAGGCTTTGATTTCCCACAGCGCAGCCACTCCTCAGAGAACTTGTCATAAAACAAACATGCACAACTAAAGCATGAGATCAGACAACCCAAAATAACTAACTAATCTAACTATATGTTCATTACAAAAATAGAAATTAATCTCAAAACTCTAATGGCATTACAAGAAAAGCATTACACATAAATGATTAAAAGATTATTATAGATATATTGATATTTATACACTTTATCACAAGTTATCACAAACATTTAGGAGCTGGCTGGAAAGAGACGTGGCTGCCACCTTTAAAGGTGAAACATTTTACATGCTGTGCATATTTCCCACAATGCCAAGTACAAAGTATGCAAATTGTCTGAACACCTAGGCACTAAAACATAATCAGACTTCCATCTAACAGAAATCTATTCAACGAACAGAGGAACAAAGACAGGCAACTGGCAATTATCAATCAGAACATTATGTATAGCGTTAACTATAGATGTACGATAGGTATGAGAACAAAAGATTAATGTGTCTAAGCAAATTATGTTTTAGTTCACTGGTGTTTGAAAAGACCTCCACAACTGTGGCGGTAAATGAAATATAGATTGCATCCCAAAGATGCACAGCACATACAGTGCACACTTTGAGGTTTTGCACCAAAGCATCAAAAGTGAATCAAGGATCATAGACCTTTGCAGAGATGCTGTTTACATGTAAATCACATTTTCTACTGATAGAGGTGGGCATGGCTATGGTAAGGCACAATGTACTGTGACTTTTGGCTCCAAAGGGGCAATGTCGTGGTTGATTAGCAATTGGCTGGTCATTCATCCCTGGGTAAGGACTTGGCATTACACTCCAAGTTTCATGTAAACATTAATTGGTATATTCTATAGCATAGATGCTGCAGCCTCCCTCTTATGGCTTCAAAAATCATTTCAAAAATCATCACAACTTTCCTGCTGATAGAAGGCTAATGAAAAAAACATCTGTCTATTACTTCTGTCACTAAACCGTTCTATAATTTTGTGTGCAAAACACATACATGGCTCTAAAAGGTCTATCATATTTTAAAAAGGTTGAAAGTTGACTGGCTTCTAAGGCCTGTCTCCATCAAGTGAAATTTTAAAAATAAGGTTTGATTCGTATTGGAATGTTTAAATGCATTTCTGTAAGTACTTGAGTACTGCACTAATGCAAAGTGACCTTATCATTTGAAGTTTACAGTAGTCTACTGACAGTCATGGTTACTGCATGTTTTGTTTATCTGAGGTCAATACTATTCTTCCGACTTAACCTATTACACAAGTCCACTTAGTGGAACTTGGGGTTGGATTGAAGCTTTAAATAAAGTACGTTAAACTTGACGATTCTTAGACTACATGTTGCCTGCAGATAAAAACTATGGCTTCTCTGTAATACATGCATTTACATTCCTCTGGTACAATGACAAATGCTTTCTGGTCTTTCCTACTCTTATCTAAAGATTGGGCTGAAATGATTGGCATAGGAGAAGCATGGTTCATGGCCATGTGTCACGATAAGACAGTTAAGGTTTGGTATGGCTATCGCCTTAAAGAGCAGCAGAGAAGGCTTAACGTAGGGGGCAGAAAGTAATTAAAAGGTCTATAGATAAGCATGCAGATCATAAGGGTGCATCTATACCCTTTAAATTAAAAAAGCACAAAAGTGGCTACGATTTTACAAGGTGTGTTTTTGGCAGCAACAGGAACAATATAAAAAGGAAAGATGCTTAATGTCCAGCAGTTGCCATAAAAATCCTCTCACATTGTTCTTTATTGTCTGGGTCTTCTGAAGTCCAGACATCGATCCACAGAAACTGTTCATACAGAAACTAGTAGCATCCAACTGTGAGATGTGTGCATTTGCAAAGATTCAGATAGTGTGTAGTGTGTAGAGCACCAGTGTCCCGTGGAATGAGGCGCACACAGCTCTGGTTTGGTTGGGTTAAGCTGGTTCATGTCTTCTGAGGGTCTGGAGAGATAGGGCCTGGAGTGTTGGTCCCATCCAGGCTGTGAACGGGGATCTGGAACGAAGGGGTGAGCACAGAGGGGAACTGAAAAGGTGGGGAAAATAAGAGTCAGAATCAGACATGAAAAACATTAAGTGGAAATAAGAGGAGGACTGACTTGGAATAGGTGGGCTCCTTGGCGCCGTGTGGCAGGACTCAAAGGAGCAACTGGACTGAGTGTGCTCCAGAAGTGAATGTTGGACAGAAGAGGGCTTGGGGTCAGCAGCAGGGTGGGAGTCTACAATATAGAAGATTGAGCATCAGCAGTTTCTAGAGCATTATCACATTATCACATTATCAAATGATGGCACAGTGAAATGATGACCTTTGATAATGTGAGACATACCACTTTACATCTCTAATAAGATGTTGTCTCTGTTTATCTCTGGATATGCAGAGATAAACATCACGTTAATACAATAAATGGAATTAATTTTTTAATTATTCAGCAGGATTATGTGATTATATGTTAACTGACAATCACATAAAATGTGACAGGTTCGTATCTTGTAATGGTGTAATGCCTGTAAAAACATCAATTTGAAATAACACAAGAAGAGCTTGTAAAAATGTGATCTTCAGTCTAGAGTCTTGTAATTTTATAATAAATATCAAATTGAAACATGATTCTCACACTGCATAGATAATATGATAAACAAATGTTGCTGTGTGAGAATTATAACATTTTTTGCATTGGTTTTATCTACGACCTTTACAACCTTTATCCTTCTGTATATGCAAAAAAATAATTAGATGTAATTTTAAATTTTAAGTGCTAATATTTTAGCACTGACCTGTTTCCTTTTTTTAAAAATTATTATTATTCTTGTATTGCTGGTTAATGAACAGCACTTTGGGGCAGTGCCTCTGTTTATAATAAACTTGACCTTTACCTTGACCTAATAAAGCACATTACCTGTAGCATTGCTGGTGTGAGCGATGCGGTGGGTAGAGAGGGGCTGCAGAGGTTCATAGGGGAGAAATCTGAGGCGGTAACGAGCAGAGTGGGCGGGCTTATTTGCAAGATTTTGGGTGGCTTCCGGGCCTTTCCTGAGCTCTGAGTGGCAACTGTGCTGATGCTGCTCACTGAGTCTATTTCTACTGGGATGTGCTCATCTGTGCTCTCAGCTCCGCTGTTGTCCACCTGAAAACACAATTCACACATGTAAACAACAGCTGCTTACAAATCCAGCTGACTCATATGCATATTGCTTGCCTTCTCTGCCTGGTTTATGGTGCACTCCAAGGACTGGGAGTCTGCCTGGTGGGAGGACCCTGAATCTATGTCCGTGTCGATGACCAGCTCTTGAGAGGACTCCACCACCAGGTTGGGAGAGGGGCTTGTTGTGCTCAGGTCGGGGATGTTAAACTGAGGGTCCGCTGGTCGCATCTGTTCAAATGTATAGACAGGCTGTTGGGGCATGGAGGAGTGTACGCTGATGTCCTCCTGTCTGGGCAGTGGAACCTGGAGTGGGTCCATTTGGGTGGACATCAGGGTTGTCTCTATGGCAACCTCAGGGGGTGGTCCTGGTGACTGCTTTGGTGGCGTGTTTCCAAACTTGATGACAGAGGGCAAGACAGGGGTGTGTTGCTGTGGTGGGGATAAGGCATCCTGGCAGGGGGATGCTGTGCTCTGTCCCCTCTTCTCTGACATTTTCTCGGCCGGATTCTCTATTTTGATGGACTTAAAAAGCTGGCAACGATTTTGCAGTGAGTTGAGAGTAAAGGATGTGTACAGGCCTGAGTGAATATAGTCATTACGGTTTGACTGCTTGGTGCTTGAGGCCAGAGCACTAGAGCCCACCGATGCCTTGTTTCTGTCAGTTATGTCGACCTCCTGTGCAGTGCTATCGTTCTTTTTGGAAAGTGATGTGATGCTCCCCACAGCTGTGTCCGCTCCTTCTGTTCTCATGGCACCATCACCTTTAAGGATGTCAGGATATGATACAAAGCGATAAACAAACTTCTGACCATTCACCTTCTTTATGATGTTCTGTAGAAAAATAAAGCACAAATAAAAGCATGTTACATTTTACTATCCATGCAATAAACTCAGAGTCACTGGATAAGTTTAAGCTATGTAACTTTTGTGTCTGACTTTGTATACCATACATTTAAAAAAGTTTGCACTGTTGTTCTACTCCAGTAAATTTTTTAAAATCCAATTCAGAAGAATTTACAGGAACTAGAGGAATGTCATTGCACTTTACTTCATCCCAAGATTTAAAACTAAAAATAAATCTCACAGAATGTGTGGCGAAACTGTCTGCTGAATATAGAATCAAAGTAAAAGTGAAAAGACAGTGGTGTCTTTAATAAGGAAGCTCAGAAAAGTCGAGAGTGTGGGGGACCACTCTGTTTTCCTGTCTGAGCCAAAGTAGTTGTTGATGGTGAAGCCAAACATACCAAAGCAGCGCCCACAGGGTCAGACTCAGCCCATGTCAAACCACAAGCTGAGTGGGAGACCAGACAGCTTTAACTCTCTGCTCTGTGCTACTGTGAGCAACACTATTTACTTGTCAGGATCCAGCTGCCTACAGATGTACATAATGCACAAATACCTGGCTAAAATATGTATTTTCATTATTATTTTATACAAATGTGGTCATTGTACCTTTAACAGCACTGACTGCCACCTGTGTATGATTGATTGATTATGAGAACACTACCTCACAACAACACCAAGAAGAATTAAATGAATCTCTTAGCCGAATAATTCTGCCAAAACCATGGCTTCTGCAGAATGTGGACAAGTTTGAGTAATTAAGCTCTAACATCTCAACATCACATGAATGACATCTAAGCACATCAGGCAGGAGGTTGTACTGAAATGGGTTGATTTCACAGAATGCCCCTTATATCTGAAGAATTAAGTTCTTTACCTTATCGTAATAGTATCGGAGGGCTCTGCTGAGTTTGTCATAATTCATATTTGGCTTGTTTTTACGCGCTCCCCACAGCCGGGCCACCTCCTCGGCCTGCAGCAGTTTGAACTCCCCTTCCTCATTGGTCCAGCAGATGAGTTGCTCATTGTTGGAATCCAGTAGAAGCTGAAGGAGGAACTGCCACAGAGTGACAGAGTTGTCCATGTCTCACTGGGGAACATACAGCAAGAAAAGGCATGTGAAATCATTGCTTAAAACACTTACAATTGTTTTGTTTTTATTTGGGAAAGACCTACAGTTAACCATAAAAGTGCCACTGAGATTTCAGACCCTCTTTTACAGGGGAATCCTTTTTAGTGGCAGGGGAAACTGGAGCAACATCAAGATCCTTTACAGTAAAAGTGTCATCCAGTCCAGGCAGTCCAGACTCAATGGCTTTCAGTGAGGTGAGGCCAGAGAAGATTAGGTTTAGAATCAGACAATATTGACAAACATTAGATATAATTTTTATGTCAATAATGAGACTAAAATAAAGGAATTCTATCAGAAATGTGCTAAACCATGCCTCTAAATGTCTTGGTTCAAGTATTGCAAAAATGTAAAATAGATTTAAAGAAACTATTCACAAAACACTTGTAATTAAACTTTATAATACATCTCACATCTTTCAGTTAGGGCACACAAAACAGGCACACTGTGACTAGTGGCTATGACAAATAGACACCTTAAAATACAAACCTTTAAACTTTAACATTCTGCATTTACATGTCATATGCATTAGTGTCAGCTTTCTCAGAAAATACGAACTAATGCAGAATAGAGACTTTATAAGAAACATCTCATCGTAATAATATTATTATTAGAGGTGTCATCTAATGAAAGGCAAATACAGTGAACAGTCCCAGTTCACTTGCATGTGTGTTTCTGTGTTTCTGCCTAAGCCTCTTATCTGAGGGATGAGTAAATCTGAGTTGAATCATCGTCAAATCTGCTAAAGCTGCAGACACACCCCCCACATGCAATCTGTCCCACGCTCGCTCGTTAATATCGACGCAAAAAATAGGACACTGCTAAAATGTGGCCAGTAAAAAGCGTACATTTGCGTGTTATGCAAGACGTGACATTAAGAGCAGACGACAAGGACATATCATAATAAAGCAAGCTTGGTCGTAAAGGACTCAAAGTTGTATAATGGCCTCTACCAGACCGATTCAGCAGTTGTCATTTGATCTTTTGATAGATTTCTCCTGTCAGTCAACAAGCAGCCCCAACTATAAACAAAATGTAAGACCACTTGTTGATGAAGAGCCTCATATCTGTTAAGATTTAGAAATGCCACTAGTCACGTTACAATTTTATCCACGGAAGAACATATATATCCATGCTGTGCAAAAACAACAAAGAGACCAACAAGTTCACGCGATGACGTTAGTTTGCCAAGTGAAGGTAGCTGTGGCCATAGCTCACGTTAGCTTGTTTGCTAATATTAACCTACCTCGTTCACAGAGCCCGCTGAATTTCTTCGAAATCGTCCAGCAGTTTCAGTATATTCCCCACACATTGTTGGAATGCCGTTTTACCATGCCATAGTCCATAAAAGAAGTTTGAAATTCTCATCTAAAGCCATATACCTGAGGAGGACAGATTATAAACTGTCTACTATGGCTTCTGTGGACGATAAATCCTTTCAACAGGAAACTATGCTGCGTTCACTGTACCTCGTTCATATCTCTCACATTGTTTCTTGAATGTTTTGATTTGACTTTTTATCCAACAATACTGGTGTATACAATGTACCCCAAAAGTTTGTCATTACTCATAAAGTTGCATTATCGTTTTTTACGTAGATTTCAACGGTGATTTAATTTCTGACAAAAAGTACTGTGTGTTTAACTTCGACGTGAATCAACTTTCATCCACCAGAAATCTAAATTTCTGCAGGAGCATGAATGTTGACACCCAACACTGAAAATACTGTGAAGGAGGGCAAGGCAAATCCTGCGTGAACACCAAACAAATAAGCGCTAAAAAGAAGTTCGAGAAATGGATGCCGCATTGAATTGTAACTTTCTAAAATAACCACATGACGGCAGTATAGGCCAATGGCATATGAGTTGGATAGGCTAACTTAGCAGTGCACAATATATTATATATATATATATATATATATATATATATATATATATATATATATATATATATATATATATATATATATATATATATATATATATATATATATATATATATATATATATATATATTTTTATTTTATTTTTTTATATTATTATTTTCTTTTTTAATACTATGAACCGGTTATCATGTGTTCTTAATAAAGATTGAACTGAATGCATATTAATGAACATACAATGTAAATATGTAAGAATTAACCCGATGGCTATTGTCCATCTGAAGTCCCTGGCAGGACAAGAGACAACATTTAGCGCTGTACAGACATTCAGTAACATGAATAGTGGTCGCCCGGTGTCATTGTGGGGACTGAAATCAATTAATTCAATTAGGCCTCATTGAGATTACAGTTCTACATTCTACAGTCTATGCGATCTATAGGTTTAAACCCTCAGCCACGTAACTACAGTGCAGTTGGCTTATATGCTTGGCTTGAATGCTATCCAATAATGAGAAATTGATCTTTGTCAGATTTTGTTTCGTGTGGTTTAGTACTGTACCTACAGAGAAAAAAAAATATATCTGCAAAGGGAAGTTCACTTAAACATAGAATTCTGAAGTTACCTCCACCTTAATTAAAATGAGCAGTGGGGGAATGTTGTGACCTTGAAGTAGCCTGTGAAATCGTGTAAACTGAACTTTCAGAAGACATCACACTATTTAGATCAATAACAGGCATACAGATGTGGGCAGCTAAAATTAAATTGGAAGTTCTGAGGTCTAAAGTCTATAGAAATAATCTGAGGCAACATTCATTTGTGGATTTTTTTTTTTTTTTTTTTAATTAAGAGAAGATGTTATCATTAGAGTGAACAGACTCTTGCCCTTCATCTAAGACAGTGACATGGCATCATATTCTCTAAAGCAGGGGTCTCAAACTCAAATTACCTGGGGGCCATTAGATAAAGTCTGAGTGAGGCTGGGCCACATTGAGTATTCGATAAATAGCGGTTGCACGGAAAAAAAGAGAGAGAATGAACAACACGCAACACACTTTCTTAATCTATAATAACAGTTCAGACCATGAAAATGTATTCAGAACGTAAGTTTAAACTAATACGTCTACTCTTCTTCTTTTGTCTACTTCTTGCTGGTTGAAACCTGGCTACGCTTCATCTTGCACAGCTGAGAGATATTTGGCTTGCAGGAGGAAGCATATGAGAACCTCAGGATAGATTGAAGATGCTCATCAGTGAGCCTTGACTTGTATTAGGTGCTTTAGCTACATGCTGCCATTAGGCCAGTTAATAATAACATGTCCTACCACAATTATGCAGACGACACTCAGATCTACGTCTCTCTGGCAGCAGGAGACTATGGACCAGTGGACTCACTTGGTCACTGCATCCAACAGATCAGTGTGTGGATGCAAAACAACTTTCTCCAGCTAAACTCTGACAAGACTGAAGTCATAGTGTTTGGTCCACAGAAACAAAGGGACAGTGTCAGCAGTCACCTCCAGTCTCTTTCTCTAAAACCTTCAAATCAGGCAAGAAATCTAGGGGTAATAATGGACTCAGACTTGAACTTTAACAGCCACATCAAATCAATAACATCTGCAGCCTTTTATCTAAAAAACATCAAAGTTCAAATCAAAGGTTTACTGTCTAAATCAGACTTGGAGAAACTTATCCATGCGTTTGTCTCCAGTAGGTTAGATACTGTAATGGTCTGCTCACTGGTCTCTCCAAACGAGCTGTGAGACGCTGCAGAACATCCAGAACGCTGCAGCTTGGGTCCTTACTCGAACTAGGAAGTACAAGCACATAAGTCCTGTGCTCAGGTCTCTGCACTGGCTTCCTGTGCCTCAGAGACTTTAAAGCAGCTCTGCTTGTGTACAAGTCTCTCCATGGCCGAGCACCAAAGTACATCTGTGATATGTTAGTGTCATATGAACCATCTCACACTCTGAGGAGCTCAGGGACCCACCTCCTGCTGGTGCCCAGAGTCACGACTAAACAAGGGGAGTCAGAGTTTCAGGTTCATGCAGCTAAAACCTGGAACAGTCTGAACATGTGAGACAGACTCTTCTGTGACGCTGTTTAAATCCAGGCTCAAAACATTTCTGTTTAACTGTGCAAATAACTGAAAGGTTTTCATTCCGCACTCTTCTCTCCAATTTATGTCTCTCTTTTTTCATTTTAATCTTCATGATTATTTATGTTTTGGTTTGTTTTTATTATGATTTTAATGTATTTCTTATTCTGTAAAGCACTTTGAATTATTTTGTGTACGAATTGTGCTGTACAAATAAACTTACCTTGCCTTGCCTTGCCTTTCAAGCCGACAGTATTTGTTGCACCAAACGGTCCATTCGAACCAAAAGTGGTTAGTTCGGTTTGTTTGCGTTGGTGTGAAAGCGTCAATCGGACTCTGACCCGGACCAACTCAAGCAGACCGAGACCTCAAAAAAGAAGTGGTCTCGGTTCGCTTGAATCCGCACCAAATGACCAACTTTGGTGCGGTTCTTCTGGTGTGAACGCGAACCCGGGTCCAAACCATAGACAGCAGGTCCAAACGAACTATTCGAAATGCATCATGGGAGAAACGCGTCTCCTTTGCCTGAAATAACGCGCTGTATGATTCCAGCGCAGTAACAGATTGTTGTCCAGACGCAGCCGCGATTCATTTTCGATTATTTTACCAACAATGGCCAATACAGAGAATGTAACACACGAAGATCAGACCAAGTACGTGCGAACGTGGCTCCAGAGTGAGTCAAAATTGGGGGTGTGTACGTCTGTTCAGGACCTGCACAGAGGTCCCGGTGTTCCCCATGTAGGAACCAGCATTTGTTATTTTAGGCTTTAATTAACCAAATAATTTAATGGCAATCGCCATTTCGGCGACACATATGTGGAGTTTGGTCATCGGGTTGCCAGCAAGTTACACACCAAGTGTTGAGCAGGTAAACAGACTGTCAAAGTCTTTTTATTTCTTATTAGCCCCTCCAATAATGGTCCCATACTTATGAACAGGGGAATTCTGTCAGCACCTCCTCTGTGCTCTGATACTGTTGTTGTGGGAGCATAAAGTGAAGTGTGCACACGTGTACCACCATGTGTGGTTTGTTTTGGTTCTTAGGTGACGCCGTATGTGCACTGTACTCCTATTAACAGATCCACTTAGACTCATTGCTTCACAACTGCTGTAAGTTGAGTTTTGGGATATAAACTGCGTTAATAATCTGTTGTTGTGAATCCGATTGCAGCTGCATCTGTCAGTGCAGCCCGCAGTAGGGGGGGTGGGATTGTGCGTACATCTACCGCGGGCCACACTGACATTATTCTTTGGAATTAAGTGGAGGGCCACAAAAAATCCTTCCGAGGGCCGCGAGTCTGAGACCCCTGATCTAAATCCACTGAATTCTTCACCCTCCCTGTCACTTCTGAGAGACTCTGCAACATCCAGAGGTAAATTATTTTAATAGATCCATGAGTAAACAGAGCGCCGCTTCCTCTTCTGTGTAGCTGCCATCAGACTCAGCACCAGTTCCAGTTAGAATTATTCCAGCCTTTCTGAATCCCGACAGGATGGTTTCGGTTGTCAGTGAAGTTCAGGCGTTATCGATCCATCCAATGACTTCCAGGAAAGTTGCACGGTGCATCCTCCGGGTTGCCGAGAAGCTGTGTTCTCCATCCCCGCCTTTAGCCAGTCCCTCACAAGTTTCTCTTCACTCCAAACTTTCTTTCTGCTGCTCAGTTACTGTTTTAAATGTTCAGTGGGGCAGAAGTATTGGTGCGATCTACTGACATGATCCAGACAGAAGAGCAGCTCTGCAGAGACAAGCGCAGTGACAGTGGGACAGGACGAACGGGAGCAGAGCGCCTTAGCTTAGCTTTGCTAAAGTAGCCATCTAGCTAGTGTATTTATCTATCTAGTAGTGTATTTAGTACTTTGCGCATACTGTTCTATGTGGATTCACTACATTTTTGTTAGAAGTTTTAAGTTTGGACATACACCTTGACTTCTGGTAAGTGGATCTTTTGAGTTTGTAATTGAGTAGAAGAAGAAGCACGCACTGCACAGATGTACATAAGCGTTGTACGTAAGCGTTGTGCCGTCAGCACGCACGGCGCTGCTGTTGCCAAGTGCATCTTTTGACTGATACACGCTGCTGTTGCCAAGTGCATCTTTTGACTGATGCGCGCTCTCTTGCAAACTTTGCAAACCTTGGCTGTGATCGAAAATTTGTATCTGAACTTAAATCGACGATTTCTGAAAAGAAGAGGCACAAGTCCGACAGATTTTCACCCAGACTTTGGCTGACAACCTTCTGCATCGGACTACGAGACGTTTCTGAGGAACACGTGAGGTTTGTCACTTTCCTGGTTCATAGGCCTTACGGGTTTTCATCGTGTTACTGAAAAAGCAATCATTAGCTCAGCAGATGCCCCTTTATCAATGTCTAGGTCATGTTTATGGTATATGTATTCCAAGAAATGTGAGCTCTTGTGCTTCTAATCTCCTAAATATCTGCTGTAGTGTCATGGTTT